ATGGGTAGTCGACCAGGATGCGTCAGATCGAGCATCGCATTGCGACCCTTCACCTGACATGCACACATGATGGGACCACCATCGAGGACAGGAGCATCGTGCCCCCTGCACAATGGCCTCCATCCAGACACGTACCGTGCCATCCGATGAGGAGGCGATCGACTGCCACTTACGTGAACCAGCGGTCATTTGCTCCGTCCAGGTGCCGGTTGGTGGCGTAGGTTGCACCGTTGGCGCCAGGGTCGGAGCTGCCGTAGGCTGCATCGTAGGCGCCAGGGTCGGAGCCGCCGTAGGCTGCATCGTAGGCGCCAGGGTCGGAGCCGCCGTAGGCTGCATCGTAGGCGCCAGGGTCGGAGCCGCCGTAGGCTGCATCGTCGGAGCCGCCGTGGGCTGCATCGTCGGTTGCAGTGTCTTTGCCATGACTACCTCATACACACTGGAGTGAGGATCGAAGATGAAGGGTGTGCACACTGCCACGCAGCAAAAGCACTGGTTGGTCACGGTATTCCAGCTGAAGAAGAAAGGTGTCTCTTCTCCTGCATTGAGAGAGCAATATTCATAACAAGCATCGGGGGTGTCGATTGACTGGAGCTGTCGATCTTGAGGATGGCTCAGGGCCGCGATATCGTTATGCATGTCGATTGAAGAGGGCACCGAAAGAAGACGGTCTTGGAAGGGGGCCTGGCGCGCTCCTTGAGAGAATTGCTGTCCCTCACCAAAAAGTACAAATGGCTGCGCGGGATTGATGGTAGGAGCAGGAGTCGGCGCACACGTCGCGATTTTTTTAGACTTCGAATAGCGCACCTTAAAGATTTGGGAGTGGGCGAGCGGCGTGATGCACGACGCCCCTGTACCATTTACTGCATAAGCGAAGGCGTTCACCTCCAACATCTCAGGGGCACACTCATCAGCTTTTACCTTGACGCGGAAGCGGCGTTTTCCCCCTCTACGTTTTGTGAGTGCAATGTTGAGCCAGTAGATCACAGTCGTTCCATCTGCATTCTCAACACCTTTCGGGGATATGTAGGGCTTTGAGGAAGGACGCATCGCTGTTCGCTCTACCGACAAGCCCTTGGGGAGATTCAATTGAAACTCAAGATTGTCGACAGGAACTTTGCTAGTCATGGTCACAGCTATCTTGGCGTGACCCTTCCCTGCAAGGATCCCACGTCTAGCGCTCGGTCTAACTTTGGCCTTGAGGAAGACGCCTGGACAACCTTGAGAGACGGCGTTGAAAATGCTTGCAAACCCCAATAAGGCGACTAGGAGAATGCCAAAGAGATGAATCATATTTTTAAGCGTGATATTAGTGCTTCTATGGTCACGTGCAGATTGGTTGTGAAGCGTGGGACGGCTTGACCTGTACAAGGGCAATGTGAGTGGAAGGCGAACATATTTAATGAGTTTTACAACGCTATGCCGTAAAACATTAGGTCTTCGTAGCTCTTACGGAAGACTGAGACATCACAAGCATGCCCATGACGCTCGATTGCATTTAATGGGCTAAAGTGCTCCGGTCTATAACATTATGGTCTTCGTAGCTCCAACGTAAGACTGAGACATCACAAGTATGCCTATGACGCTCGATTGCATTTAATGGTGCTCCAGTCAGGAAGACCTTAGCAGTGCATCATAGGACGAGAACTAAGGGGCATGAACAACGACTTCCAGAGTACACCTCATCAGGCAATTTGGAATGCAGGAATTAAATTATTTCGTGAAAAGCGCAGCATCATCTCAATTACGTAATTTTCGCCATCGTAGAAACGCCATATAGAGCATTTCTTTTCTGTGTGGCATGTGCCTGCGTAACTCGATTTGGTTGACATCCACGGGTGCAGGCCCAAAGGTCCTCAGCAGTGCGTCACGCCAGAACAACGGAGCCATTACTTTGGATGTCATGTTCGTCCTTCAACAGAGAATATGAAGAGGAAGAGCAAAACGAATGCATGAGAGGACATTCACTCATTGGCTTTATGGGTGTCCCGTGCGGAAGCCCATAAACTTTTATTTTGAATGAGCTCCAATCCTCGGAGGAGAGCGACTTAAGGTTGGTCTTATGTGTGGCTTAAATATGACAAGTAGGTCTCTTTTGCTCGATTCCATTGAGTCAAGACGTGCATCCAAACACGTACCCTGCCATCCGACGAGGACGCGATCGACAGCCAGAGACGTAAACCAGTTTCCGTTTGCACCTTCCAGGTGGTACCCGCGTCGGTCGACGTATAGATGAAGCCATGATTCAGCCCGGTGGGAAGGTTCTGTGCATGATGGGACGGGTAGTCCCCCAGGATGCGTCCGATTGAGCGTCGTATGGTGACCCTTCACCAGACATGCACACACGATGGGACCACCATCGAGGACAGGGGCATGGTGCATCTTGTGTCATGGCCTACATCCAAACATGTACCGTGCCATTGGACGAGGACGCGATCGATAACCAGTTAATCTTACTACGCTGCGTGTCCCTTCTGATTGTTTCCTCACCCGAAATACGCATACTCCCCGCTCACGACCGAAGTGAGTAGTTCGTCTTCACCACTGTCAAGTGCAAGGCTGTCCACATGACTGAAGTCGGTCAGATTCAGCTTCACCACTATGCCAGGGGATGTGAATGTCCTGCATAGAAAGTAGAGCGAAGGGTATCAGCAACTCAGATCGCATCAAATCTTACAATGCTGCGTGTCCCTTCTGATTTTTTCCTCACCCGAAATACGCATACTCCCCGCTCACAACCGATGAAAATAGGTTGTCTTCACCACTGTCAAGTGTAAGGCTGGCCACACTAATATCGGTCGTTGGGGGAGCCGTTCGAGTTGTTGAGGGTACTTGAGTAGGGGTACGAGTCGGTCCTGGACTGGGCGATGCTGTAGGTGTCGGTGTTGGGGGAGCCGTTGGAGTCGCTGCAGTAGTAGGGATGGAAGTTGGAGGAAGCGTTGTGGGTAAGAGCGCTCACACGTTGGAATCAGGATCGACGATGAGGGGTGTGCACACCCCGGCGCAGCAGAAGCACTGGCTGGTCACGGTATTCCAGCTGAAGAGGAATGGTACTTCCTCGCTCCCGTTCAACGAGCAGTATACATAGCAAGCTTCTGGGGTGTCGATGGATTGCAGCTGTCGATCTTGAGGATGGTAGCGGGCGATGATTCCTTCATGCCTATTGATTTCAGTGTGCAGCGAAAGACGACGGTCCTCGAAGGGGGCCAGTCGCTCCCCTTGAGAGAACCGTAGGCCCTCACCAAGGAGCACAAAAGGCTGCGTGGGATTGACAGTAGGAGCTGGAGTGGGCGCGCACGTTGCGTCTTTGTTGCGTTTCAAGTAACGCACTTTTACGATGGCGGGGTTGGCCAGCGGCGTGATGCACGAGGTGTCGGTAGCATTCATTAGGTAAGCGAAAGCGTCCACCGCGAGCGTCTCAGGGGCACACTGGTCAGCCTTCACCTTGACGCGAAAGCGGCGTTTGCCCCCCTTGCGTTTGGTGAAAGCGAGACCCTGCCAGGAAATAGCTGTCACTCCATCCGCATCCTCAACAATTTGCGGCGGTGTATAGGGCTTTGAGGACGGACGCATGGCTGTTCGCTCGACCGATAGCCCGTCCGGCAGGTTCAACTGAAACTCCACGTTGTCCACGGGATCGTTGCTCTCCAGCATGACGGTGATCTTAGCCTTTCCCTTACCGGCCACGATCCCACGCCGAGGATTTGGCCTAACATTGGCCATCAGAGAAAGCCGCGGACACTCTTGAGAGACGGTGGTGAGAATGCTTCTAAAGCCCAGGAGAGCGACGAGGAAAACACAAGAGAAATCTTTCATTTCTGGATGTGTAGATTTGTGCTTGAATATGGGCGCGTACGGATTGACAGGTCGACCTGTAAGAAAGTGTGCGACCATCACCCCATTATACATACATCAAACGGGATAGAGCTATCTGCAATGTCTCATTAAGACTCTGTAGGTCTCATAGATGACTAAACCATGTCAAGAATGTCTGTATCCCTTAGTTACGTTAACGTCCACAGGACTTAGGCCAAGATCTCTTTCACGTGCCACAAAACCTAGGTGCTGTTGCTACGACCTCGTGGGCAGACCTCAACAGACAATGTGGCAAGCAAGTCAGAAAGTAATGGATTTGCAGTACAGAAACATCTTTCCACAAGGGAAGCTCCCATCCTTCGAAGGATAGGCACGTGCCATATGGTCGTTTCAAAACAAAAACCAAATTTCAAGTGACAGCTTAGGCACATGAAAATCAAGGAGAATCCATTTCCATGTGGGTGCATAATTGAGAATCCTCAAATAATTTAGTTTTTCCTAGGTCTGATAGATGACAGATAAAGGCATGTCAAGAATGTCTGAATCGCTTGGTGCTACTGCTACGATTTCGTGGGTTGACCTGCAGACAATGGGCAAGTAAGCGAGCAAAGAAGGCATCAGCAGTGCACAGATGTTTGCAGGTATGGAAATTTGCAAAAAGGAGTAATTGAGAAGCATGCACAAGTGTCAGGGAGTCCTTAACAGCGGTTTTACTTTTCGAGTAGAAGCCGTGCTTTAAAGCGTCCGGTGCAAAGCGACCGTGTCAGAATAAACACGTGAGAATCCCTTACCATGCGGGTGCGAAATTGAGGATTCTCATTTAATTTATTACACTTCCATTGCTGATTGTACGAAGATTGCTCTTACTCTTGTCCAACTGACAAGTGTCCACATGACAAGACATTACAGGCTCAGGCAACAATCTTAAGTTCTGTCCCATGATCGTTGCGCAAAGTTTTTAAACGGTCGACGTGTCGTAAGCAGCCGGCCGTTTCAATACGTGGCTGGGGCTTGGTGTCTACCTACCTGCGCTGTGCGCGTGCTGTTTGAATGGAAAGAGCAGAGCAGAACGGATTGAAAGCAGCCGTGAGTATAACGTTGGAGGTGTATAGCGTTCCTGACAGTGGGTGAGAAGACCTCTTCATCTTCTGGCCTAGTTTACTGTTGAAAGAGGCCTCATCGAAGGAGAATAACGCACTCATTGTTCCTGGTTTAATCGACTCATTTGTGCCCAGTACATTAAAGTACCTCTTGACCACCATAGAAACACGATCAAAAGCAACGAGGCTTACTTGACAGGATATCTGTGACTGTCAATTAATCCATAGCGTCGCGTACGCTATCTCATAGCTTCCGTGATCCCCGAGAAAAGATTCTTTCCGTGCATTTTTGCTATACTGGGGGTCTTCTGACATGGAGTTCCATTCTAGCTGTCATAATACTGACCATGAAGGAAGCAGACTCGAACAATCAGAGCAGTCGGGCGGCTGGGATCCCTGCCACGGCGTCCAGTGTTTCCCAGCATTATGCGATGTGGTGAATGAGGAAACAAGAATGACCGGGAGAACATGACTGGCTGGCTCTTAAGGCGGAGAACGGCAATGATGGAAAGAAAGAGAAAGGGACTGAGCAAGGAAGGGAGCGAATTGGAAGGGAGGGAGAAGAGTATTAGGCCAAAGCTAGCGGCTCATACGTTGATAGTGTTTTTCTTACATCACCATGCGGACTGTGGGGGAGAGAATACTTCTCAAAAGAGCACAAGTATGAAAGAACCTAATCAAACGACAAAGTGGATGGATTCAGAGCGGGGAATCAAGACATACGCGAAAAAAAGGCATCTATCAAGGGTAAGGTTCCTACCACATCTTTTTTTTTAAGGAGGACTCATCGCGTGGCACTGTTCTCGTGCAGGCTGTCTCTCAAGTATTCCTTATTGTATCATCATATAATTTTGCTCTTCTTATGTGCTCGGCTTATTCTTGACCCTGACCTTAACATACACACACATCCCATAGCGTCGTCTACGCTGTCACAGAGGTTCCGTGATTCCTGACAAGGATTCTTACCGTGCATTTTTGCTATACTGGGGGTCTTCTGACATGGAGTTCCATTGTAGCTACCATGAAGGAAGCAGAGACGAACAATCAGAGCAGTCGGGCGGCTGGGATCTCTGCCGCGGCGTTCAGTGTTTCCCTGACCCTAGCCCTAACCCTTGATGCGAATAACCAAACTAATGCCACAGGTAACCCAATACCTAATTAGTTCTTCAGTACAATTACTATTCTCCCTGAGAATGTATACCAATCGATTCGCCCAAGAATCGTGTACTAAGATAACCAAAGACGGATCAAAGACAACCAAAGATAACCAAAGACACTGGTCGACGCCAGTCCTGTTGTCGTATAATAATATAACATACAAATGATTATGTGGACGTAATCATGACATGATACAATAGATTTATTCCCTGACCTTAGCCCTAACCCTAACAGTACGTAATGAAAATTATTGAAGTCGTGATTTAGCACTGTAAACTCTTGCTATATGAGCATCTTGTCTTTGTGGCCTCTCCGGTTCAAAGTACTTTCTTGAACATGAAATATCATTCTTTTCTCTTCAGATTTCCTTTCCTAAATCGCTAACACTCTGCTTTATCCCTTTTTAGGTTTTTCAGAAGCCTCTTTAATTGTTCATCCTGCTTCTTCGTATTTTGTTATTTACTGGATCATAGGTGTAGCTCTGTTTCGATGAGGAGTATAGAAGCCGATCCAATTTCCTTGCTATACTCAATGAAATTCAGCTATGAATTAAGGCACATCATCAGTACCATGATTCAACAAGCGATGTAAAACTTGTGACATATTGTGTACAATACTTATCAGCACTTGGTCCTCATTTCGCATTGCTCATGGAAAATCAGTTTCTTGCCTGAAAATGGTACATAAAGATGTCTCACGACTCTGGAAAATTTCCCCAAAGCTGAATTGAATTCCTCTCTTTTACGAGGACATCTCGAGCAGAGCGAGGCACACCAAACAAATATTCAAACACCAAGAGAAAACAGAATCTTAATCTTTACGTGGTACTTATTGAAATACATCCGGCAACAATCAGCACAAAAATTGCTGATCACTAAAGGAATGAACTACAAATGTAATTACCGTCATAGTTATCGTGTCTTCTACGCAAGAAATGTTTCATGTTTCATTTTTCTTAAAGAGCTTTTAACTTTCTAAAGAAAGAAAGGAAACAACTATCGAGCACCGCGCTTAAAAGGCAGTATGGATAGCTTCGCTCGTTCACAAGCAAAAGTGATGGACGCTGGCTTTATCTATATACTGCCTGTAGGCGTCAGCGAGGGTAAACATCGATCAGAAGGTGTGCAATACACGCGTAAAGAAAGCAAACAGTCTATTAGGCCAATTGACTGTGTACGAAGCCAAAAGAAGGATGTTATGTTATATGGGTTACTTTGTCATTTATCACTAGCTTAAATTAAAATTAAGCCTGAAGGATGGGTACTTTTTGCGCATCTAAGACATAGACATGCTTCTGGACATTGAATAATCTTACCCCTGCATTCTTTAAAAGGCCTTCTTATCAGGGCCTTTGCGCCGTAAATACCAGTAAGGAGCACACGGCAGGAGAAAACGATGCACGCCACGCAAAGTACAGCGTATCGATACGACATGCGACAGCCCCGAATTTCAAAGTTGCTCAGGCGGTGTGGTAGGCTCGCTTGCGCGATGACCATTTTTTTCCTTCTGCCTGGAAAGATCACTACTCAGTCATTGTCATTGTTCATCTGAGTGATCGAGTCCGCTTTCCCTTAAGTAATGCTCATTTGGAGGCTAAACTGGACCTTTAAAGATTTTCGATTCTGAATGAGCGTGAGATCCAAGTGGCTTGGAAAGTTGATATCGTACATCATCTGGTGCTTATGTATCGCATATATCTAATGATCCCTCTGATGTAGCTCGTCCGACGCAACAAGTGATTTCCGAATTTGAAGCGCATGGAAATGAACTGAACGAAATGAAAAACGCGGATGGAAGTGGGCCTAGAATAAAACGGATAGCTTTTTTTTTCGGGGTAGGGGCGACGTATTGTGTGCGTAATGGCAAAAGAAATCAATAGAAAGAATTGGACGGTCATATCATTCTAGGATGCTGCAAGGTAATCAGTTGAACTTCATATTCTGGCCTTCAAGAATCAAAATTTTCAAGTCTCTCCAGATAAGCTGACAAAGTTTGACGCCCCCACACAGGGTTCTCACTAACCCAAACCCAAAGGGAGAGATCGAGAAGTCAGGGAGGCACTGTGTAGTCTTCTTATTCGCCCACCCGTACCTCTTCAAGAGAGTTTCCAGGCACGCCGACTGCATGAAGACCAAGTCGTTCGGCTTCTCCTTGGGACAACCAAGGATCACACTTTCCACCTCCCACTCTGGTACACATACATCGATAGGAAACATATTCAAGGCACAGCCATTGGAGACAGTCAAGACGGTGGGTAAACAGTCGTCACGCCCGAGAAGCAGATCGTCTACTCCCATACCCCCCCACTGAACCAGCGCTTCCCCAAGTTTACCCTTTCCAATAATCACGCTGGCTTGATCACACTTATCAGGCTCCTGGGTAAAATTTTATGTGCAAGGAAAAATAGAAAATTATCAGAAGACGCGACGGAATATTACATGGTGCGGTGGAATGACGCCATCGCAAATTATTCACAAAATTCTTTTCGCATTACTTTGAAAATTTCTGAATACTTTATGGAAAAATGTCCACGATACATATTATCATACACTCCATTTCTCGATTGCATTGGTGGTTGTACTTTAAGTCGATAGTGCTCTCTCCTCAACTCATACCGTACCTCTTTTCCTTCAATATATCGGTGCTGCTGATCGGATCAAATTTGCCACAGCCGTACAAGAGATTTTCTAGAGTGAGGTAGGTCCACGTGCGGACAAGGTGAGCGGTAGAAAGTGGTGGAGAAAGCAGTCCATCATAGACTACTCGGCTGTTGGCGTGGTGGTGGCAGCTGCTAGTGCCACGGCTTACGCTGTCTCGACCTTTGACGAGACTCGGGCGAAAGCTGAAGTTGCGCGCATCGAGGATAAGGCAGCGATACAGATCGCTCAGGCGTAAGCTGAAGTTGCGCGCGTGGAGGGCGAGCGGAAGCTGTCTGAGCAGTTCTGGAAGGTGGAGGTGGAGCGATACAAGCAAGACGTGTGCGACTGGCGCATACTCAAGACTATGAGCCTTATCAGGCCGCGATTTCAATAAAGAAGAGGGGAGGAACCACAGAATCGGAAAAAGGAGAAGGACTAGCTTTTTGGAACCCTGCGGCGATAAAAATCTGTAACAGACACATCC